TTCAATAAATTTTCTATTTTAAGGAAAATTTTCAATAAATTTTCTATTTTTAAGAAAAATTTTCAATAAATTTTCTATTTTAAAGAAAATTTTCAATAAAGGAAAATTTTCAATAAATTTTCTATTTTTACAGAAAAATTTCAGTAAATTTTCTATTTTAAGGAAAATTTTCAATATATTTTCTATTTTAAGAAAAATCTTCAATAAATTTTCTATTTTAAAGAAAAACTTCAATAAATTTTCTATTTTTAAGGAAATTTTTCAATAAAATTTATATTTTTAAGGAAATTTTTCAATAGATTTTCTATTTTAAGGAAAATTTCAATAAATTTTCTATTTTTAAGGAAAATTTTCAATAAATTTTCTATTTTTACAGAAATTTCAATAAATTTTCTATTTTTAAAGAAAATTTTCATTGAATGTTCAATTTTTATACAAAATTTTCAATAAATTTTCGACTTTTATAGAATTCAATTCAACAAATTTTCTATTTTTATACAAAATTTTCAATAAATTTTTTATTTGTATAGAAAATTTTCGAAAAAATTTCTATTTCTTTTCTTGGTTTAGATTTACTATGATGATGTTCTTAACATTATAATCTCCCTACACATTAGCAAGTATATTATTTCATAAAAAAACTAACTTTATACCATACGTAAATTACAAATTGTTAAATAACTAAAATATTGCAAAGAAAACCCTAAAGGAAAAACAAAAAATCGTTAACTTTACTATTTTTCTGGAAATTTTCCGCATCAATACGCTTTATTAAAATACAAAAAATAAAAGTATAAAAAAATGGTAACAGTAGCATAACGTTTGGACTACTTCATTATGAGTGCAAGATAAAATATGTTTCACCAGCACTAATCCAAATTGAGTTTGTCATAAAATTACCCAAAAAATCAAAAAAATTTAACACACACAAAAAACGGAGCAAACCTTGTGAAATAACTTCCTGAAGAGGCAGCACAAAAAAAATTTAAGGAAAAAAATTCCAAACCAACAAATGCTGTTGATAGTTTTTGGCATGTGTATACAAAATACTCATAAAAAATAAAAAAAAATATTATTAAAAAATACAACAAAAACAAAATCATCTTCGTCCTCGTAAATGACAGGAAATTGCCGTAAAATATGGCCAAGATAAAATGAAATAGTATAAAAACGGAAATTCCTTTAAGGGAGAGCTAAGCGCCAGAGAAAAGTAGTGGGTTGTGCCTTTTATGTTTAAGGGAAGTGGAACAATTTTAAACAGAGGTTTTCTTTCTTTCGGTTAAACTAAATACAAATAAAATTGTTTGGTCATAAAATCCTATAAAATATGATGTGTTGGTAAAAAAATATTTTATCTTTCTTTTGTATTTATTTTAAAATTCGTGAAGGCAAAACTATTGGTTACACCACATAAATAAAGTAGAGAAATTCCTTTAGTGCTAAAATGAACTAAAAAAATTCTTAAGGATTTGCTATGGACCATAATACACAACAGGCGGGAAAAAAGGCGAAATAAAAAATTTAACGAAAATTTTCTATAAGCTAAATTTTCTATAGACAAGACTAGACTATAAACTAGACTATAGACTAGACTATAGACTAGACTATAGACTAGACTATAGACTAGACTATAGACTAGACTATAGACTAGACTATAGACTAGACTATAGACTAGACTATAGACTAGACTATAGACTAGACTATAGACTAGACTATAGACTAGACTATAGACTAGACTATAGACTAGACTATAGACTAGACTATAGACTAGACTATAGACTAGACTATAGACTAGACTATAGACTAGACTATAGACTAGACTATAGACTAGACTATAGACTAGACTATAGACTAGACTATAGACTAGACTATAGACTAGACTATAGACTAGACTATAGACTAGACTATAGACTAGACTATAGACTAGACTATAGACTAGACTATAGACTAGACTATAGACTAGACTATAGACTAGACTATAGACTAGAATAGACTAGACTATAGACTAGACTATAGACTAGACTATAGACTAGACTATAGACTAGACTATAGACTAGACTATAGACTAGACTATAGACTAGACTATAGACTAGACTATAGACTAGACTATAGACTAGACTATAGACTAGACTATAGACTAGACTATAGACTAGACTATAGACTAGACTATAGACTAGACTATAGACTAGACTATAGACTAGACTATAGACTAGACTATAGACTAGACTATAGACTAGACTATAGACTAGACTATAGACTAGACTATAGACTAGACTATAGACTAGACTATAGACTAGACTAGACTAGACTATAGACTAGACTATAGACTAGACTATAGACTAGACTATAGACTAGACTATAGACTAGACTATAGACTAGACTATAGACTAGACTATAGACTAGACTATAGACTAGACTATAGACTAGACTATAGACTAGACTATAGACTAGACTATAGACTAGACTATAGACTAGACTATAGACTAGACTATAGACTAGACTATAGACTAGACTATAGACTAGACTATAGACTAGACTATAGACTAGACTATAGACTAGACTATAGACTAGACTATAGACTAGACTATAGACTAGACTATAGACTAGACTATAGACTAGACTATAGACTAGACTATAGACTAGACTATAGACTAGACTATAGACTAGACTATAGACTAGACTATAGACTAGACTATAGACTAGACTATAGACTAGACTATAGACTAGACTATAGACTAGACTATAGACTAGACTATAGACTAGACTATAGACTAGACTATAGACTAGACTATAGACTAGACTATAGACTAGACTATAGACTAGACTATAGACTATAGACTAGACTATAGACTAGACTATAGACTAGACTATAGACTAGACTATAGACTAGACTATAGACTAGACTATAGACTAGACTATAGACTAGACTATAGACTAGACTATAGACTAGACTATAGACTAGACTATAGACTAGACTATAGACTAGACTATAGACTAGACTATAGACTAGACTATAGACTAGACTATAGACTAGACTATAGACTAGACTATAGACTAGACTATAGACTAGACTATAGACTAGACTATAGACTAGACTATAGACTTAGACTACTAGACTAGACTATAGACTGACTATAGACTAGACTATAGACTAGACTATAGACTAGACTATAGACTAGACTATAGACTAGACTATAGACTAGACTATAGGACTAGACTATAGACTAGACTATAGACTAGACTATCGACTAGACTATAGACTAGACTATAGACTAGACTATAGACTAGACTATAGACTAGACTATAGACTAGACTATAGACTAGACTATAGACTAGACTATAGACTAGACTATAGACTAGACTATAGACTAAGACTAGTAGACTAGACTATAGACTAGAATATAGACTAGACTATAGACTAGACTATAGACTAGACTATAGACAGACTATAGACTAGACTATAGACTAGACTATAGACTAGACTATAGACTAGACTATAGACTAGACTATAGACTAGACTATAGACTAGACTATAGACTAGACTATAGACTAGACTATAGACTAGACTATAGACTAGACTATAGACTAGCCTATAGACTAGACTACTAGACTAGACTTATAGACTAGACTATAGACTAGACTATAGATAGACTAGACTATAGACTAGACTATAGACTAGACTATAGACTAGACTATAGACTAGACTATAGACTAGACTATAGACTAGACTATAGACTAGACTATAGACTAGACTATAGACTAGACTATAGACTAGACTATAGACTAGACTATAGACTAGACTATAGACTAGACTATAGACTAGACTATAGACTAGACTATAGACTAGACTATAGACTAGACTATAGACTAGACTATGGACTAGACTATAGACTAGACTATAGACTAGACTATAGACTAGACTATAGACTAGACTATAGACAAGACTATAGACTAGACTATAGACTAGACTATAGACTAGACTATAGACTAGACTATAGACTAGACTATAGACTAGACTATAGACTAGACTATAGACTAGACTATAGACTAGACTGTAGACTAGACTATAGACTAGACTATAGACTAGACTATAGACTAGACTATAGACTAGACTATAGACTAGACTATAGACTAGACTATAGACTAGACTATAGACTAGACTATAGACTAGACTATAGACTAGACTATAGACTAGACTATAGACTAGACTATAGACTAGACTATAGACTAGACTATAGACTAGACTATAGACTAGACTATAGACTAGACTATAGACTAGACTATAGACTAGACTATAGACTAGACTATAGACTAGACTATAGACTAGACTATAGATTAGACTATAGACTAGACTATAGACTAGACTATAGACTAGACTATAGACTAGACTATAGACTAGATAGACTAGAGACTATAGACTAGACTATAGACTAGACTATAGACTAGACTATAGACTAGACTATAGACTAGACTATAGACTAGACTATAGACTAGACTATAGACTAGACTATAGACTAGACTATAGACTAGACAATAGACTAGACTATAGACTAGACTATAGACTAGACTATAGACTAGACTATAGACTAGACTATAGACTAGACTATAGACTAGACTATAGACTAGACTATAGACTAGACTATAGACTAGACTATAGACTAGACTATAGACTAGACTATAGACTAGACTATAGACTAGACTATAGACTAGACTATAGACTAGACTATAGACTAGACTATAGACTAGACTATAGACTAGACTATAGACTAGACTATAGACTAGACTATAGACTAGACTATAGACTAGACTATACACTAGACTATAGACTAGACCATAGACTAGACTATAGACTAGACTATAGACTAGACTACAGACTAGACTATAGACTAGACTATAGACTAGACTATAGACTAGACTGTTGTATATCCTGACTAAACACTTTCATCAAATTAATTTTATTAATTGAAAATTTATCGAAAATTTGATGAAAAAACAACAAATTGCATTTTATAATAAAGGGAGTATTATTTAATACTTAAGATCAACATATCACTGGGGCGTATTGTTTTCTAATTGTTCTTAATAATTTACATCGGTAAACTTAAACTTCAAGGGTATATTAGGTACACTAATTGCCAGACTTTTGAAGGCGTTTTCTGTTGGATAATTAAACTCAAGCTGATAATTGCGCACAAGACGAGCAGTGACCAATTCTAATTCCATTTCAACAATACGGCGACCAATACAACTGCGTGCCCCGAAACCAAATGGCAAGTGTAGGAAGGGAGAGGTGGGTTTGAGAGCGGCATTTGGACATTCAGTAGCACTTTCTGTTTCGGGTTTGGATCTTAGCCATCTTTCGGGTATAAATTCATTTGGTCGAGCATAATGTTTAGCATCACGCATTAAAGAGAGAGAACATATGGAAACTTGTGTACCTTTAGGCACTCGGTAGCCACTTAGTACCACATCTTTTACAGGAGCTCGAGCATTTCCCACCGTCAGGGGATACAGACGTTGAGATTCTTTAATACAGGCTCTCAAATAGGGAATGTTTTTCAGAGAATTTTCATCGAATTCCGAATCCTTTTGGGGTAAGATTTTTAGAACTTCTTGTCGTAGTTTTTCTTGTTGCTCGGGATTTTTAGCCAGACACAACATTAGAGCAGCAAATGAGGAGGTAGTCTGAAAATTTAAGATTTTTTTTAATTTTTATAAATTTTTAAAATTAATTTCCAATTACCGTATCCACACCCGCCATTAACATGTCCATAGCCATTACCGTGGCAATCTTCTTATCAAGTTTAATTAATTTCTCCAATACACTCTTCTCGTTGTCAGGTTTTTCGGGCACTCCATTCTTACGCTCTTGCTCTAACCGTTCAATGGCCTCATTAACGTATGAACTAGTGACATCAACTATTGTATCTAAACTCTTCATTAGTTTCATAAATGTAGGCGTCTTATAGTATTTCCATATAGATGGCTTAAATTCAACATCCACTGAATACATAAAGAAACCGGTTAAAGCACTAAACAGTTCCATGGCTTGGGGATTGTCACGTTTTGTTGTGATCAACCCTAATTGTTTGTCAAGCGCAACCACCGAAATAGATTCCAGTGTGAAACGATTTATTTCCTCTTCGAAATTATCAGGAACTTCTAGGGTTTGTTGATCTCGTATTTGACGTATTCTATAAAATGGAAAATGTGATAAATGTATATATCAATAACTAAAGCCATAGACTGATCTATAATAAAAACCAGAAAGATCTATAGTCAATATTGGATATTGATCTTTAGTCAAGAAATTAGACTGATCTATAGACAAAACTGTAGCATGATCTATAGCCAAGACTATAAACTGATCTATAGTCAAAACTAAAAGACCGATCTATAGTCAAGACAATAGACTGATCTTTAGTCAAGACTATAGACTAATCTCAAGACTATAAACCGACATATAGTCAAGACTGTAGACTGACATATAGTCAAGACTATAGACTGATCTATACTCAAGACTATAGACTGATCGATTGTCAAGACTATAGACTGATCTATAGTCAAGACTATAAACTGATCTATACTCAAGACTATAGGCTGATCGATTGTCAAGACTATAGACTGTTCTATAGTCAAGACTATAGACTGTTCTATAGTCAAGACTATAGACTGTTCTATAGTCAAGACTATAGACTGTTCTATAGTCAAGACTATAGACTGTTCTATAGTCAAGACTATAGATTGATCTATAGTCAAGACTATGTACTGATCTATAGTCAAGACTATAGTCTGATCTATTGTCAAGACTATAGACTAATCTACAGTCATGACTATGGACTAATCTTTACTCAAGAGTATAGACTGATCTATAGCCAAGACTATTGACTGATCTATAGTCAAGGCTATAGACTGATCTATAGTCAAGACTATAAACTGATCTATAGTCAAGACTATAGACAGATCTATAGTCAAGACTATAGACTGATCTATAGTTAAGACTATAGACTGATCTGTATTCAAGACAACAGATCGATCTATAGTCAAGACTATAGACTAATCTATAGTCAAGATTATAGACTAATCTATAGTCGTAACTATTGACTAATCTCTAGTCATGACTATTGACTAATCTCTAATCATGACTATTGACTAATCTATAGTCAAGAGTATAGACTGATCTATAGTCAAGGCTATAGACTGATCTATAGTCAAGGCTATATACTGATCTATAGTCAAGGCTATAGACTGATCTATAGTCTAACTAATCTTTACTCAAGAGTATAGACTGATCTATAGCCAAGACTATAGATCGATCTAGTTTCATAAATGTAGGCGTCTTATAGTATTTCCATATGGATGGCTTAAATTCAACATCCACTGAATACATAAAGAAACCGGTTAAAGCACTAAACAGTTCCATGGCTTGGGGATTGTCACGTTTTGTTGTGACTATAGACTAATCTATAGTCGTGACTATTGATTAATCTCTAGTCATGACTATTGACTAATCTTTAGTTGACTAATCTATAGTTAAAACTATAGACTAATCTATAGTCAAGACTATAGACTATTCTATAGTCAAGACTATAGACTACTCTATAGTAAAGACTATAGACTGATCTGTAGTCAAGACTATAGACTGATCTGTAGTCAAGCCCATAGACTAATCTATAATCAAGACTATAGACTCATCTATAGTCAAGACTATAGACCAATTTATAGACTGATCTATAGTCAAGACTATATATATATATTCAAAATTATAGACAGATCTATAGTCCAGATTTTTAACTGATCTATATGTTTATAGATATTTCATCATTTGTTTATACTTATTATTGAAAAGTTATTAAAAATTGCCGATAACTAATCAATTTATATTTAAGTACATTTCTTGGAATAGGTTATTGTAGACTATTTTCGAATGTCATTACCAGATAAAATACATATGATTAAGTGTGACGTTATAACTTTTTAAAGATAAGATTTCCAAATAAATGTTTGTTTTTTTAATAGACTCAATTTTGGTAACAACTCAAACATCAACCGTAAATTTATTTTTTTTTTTTAAGTGGATGACTTTTAGTTTTAGATATGATATGAAGAAATACTAACCTTTCAATAAATTCCTTATTGACTTGCGACATTTTTTGCAAATACAAACGAACATTTTTTGGCTGCATCATTACGGGATTTACCGCCGAACGAAAGGTACCCCAAGATTTACCTTGTCTGTTAAAAAGATTATTTATTAAAGATATATTAATTTATATAGTAGCAGCTATGTAATTGACGTACGTCGATATTAGACCCTCAACACCCTGAAAAAATTCAGCACGATGAACATGACGATGATAGTGTAAGGCTTCTGAACCCGCTCTTTCTGGCCATATGCCCTCATTGCGTAAAACTTTTTCAAAATCTTCCACATTGTGAGTTATAACGAATTCTGGACGTCCAAAGAAACCCGGTAAACGTGCTACATTACCATAATCCTCTTTGAAGGCAAGCATTAATTGTGAAAAATCCAATTTTGCATATTTCCCACCGGGTAAGAAATTCTTGATAAAACCGAAAGTACTAATCGAGGGAATTTCTTCGTATGGTTTTGCATTTTCCCATTCTTTATTTGATAAAGTTTCCGCGGTAGCGGTCGATTGTAGGCGAATTTTTTGAAGCTGCAATTAAATAGATTAAACTATTATATAGAAATGAATCGAGATCAATTTTTATGCGACGGAACTAAACGGAATCGCTTTATATTATAATTGTTTACTTACGGTAACTAAATGTTGTTGTTGCAACAGTTTAAAATTTTGCACTTTAAACATTTCGCTCTAACTATAACAATGTCTGTCGTTCTTAAAACCCAATTGTCTACTGAAATAGCTTAGTGAATTATTTCTAAATTTATAAACAAAAATAAACATTTGTTATAATTATTATATCAATATTTGAAAACTACTATAAAAGTGCTCTTATCTGGATGCCACTTAACTATATGAAAATTTCTAATTCTAGCAATAGATAATTTTGATTTTGTTATGAATGTTTAGAGTAAAACAGAAACAAAATAAGTATCGCATTTCAGGGGTTTCAGAAGAATTTTGAAAAATTAATAATAATGGTTCGTAATCGATAAAATCGGACTCTACAGCAACTAATGGAACAAAATTACTAATATATGCTCAAAAGGTTGTAAAAAGTGTTTCCGGATTACGATACTATACTGTACTAGTATAGTCTATAGAGTAGTCTATAGACTAGTCCATAGAGTAGTCTGTAGACTAGACTAGTCCGGGTAATATTCAATAGACTTGTCCATAGAATAGTCTATAGGCTAGTCCATAGAGTAGTCTATAGACTAGTCCATAGAATAGTCCATAGAATAGTCTATAGACTAGTCCATAGAATAGTCTATAGACTAGTTTATAGAGTACTCTATAGACTAGTCTAGAGTAGTTTATAGATTAGTCCATAGAGTTCTCTATAGACTAGTTCAAAGAGTAGAGTAGTCTATAGACTAGTCCATAGAATAGTCTATAGACTAGTCCATAGAATAGTCTATAGACTAGACCATAGAATAGTCTATAGACTAGTCCATAGAATAGTCTATACACTAGTCTTTAGAATAGTCTATAGACTAGTCTATAGGATAGTCTATAGACTAGTCTATAGGATAGTCTATAGATTAGTCTATAGAATAGTCTATAGACTAGTCTAGAGCAGTCTATAGATTAGTCCATAGACTAGCCTATAGACTAGTCCATAGAGTAGTGTATAGACTAGTCCATAGAGTAGTGTATAGACTAGTCCATAGAGTAGTCTATAGACTAGTCCATGGTGTAGTCTATAGACTAGTCCATAGAGTAGTCTATAGACTAGTCCATAGAATAGTCTATAGACTAGTCCATAGAATAGTCTATAGAATAGTCCATATAGTAGTCTATAGACTAGTCCATAGAGTAGTCTATAGACTAGCTCATAGAGTACTCTATAGACTAGCCCATAGAGTAGTCTATAGACTAGCCCATATAGTAGTCTATAGACTAGCCCATATAGTAGTCTATAGACTAGCCCATATAGTAGTCTATAGACTAGCCCATGTAGTAGTCTATAGACTAGCCCATATAGTAGTCTATAGACTAGCCCATATAGTAGTCTATAGACTAGCCCATGTAGTAGTCTCTACACAAATCCTTAGAGTTCAAATTGCATTTTTTATAAAAACAAAAGTACTAAATTTTCCATCTCTGATAAATGTAGATATTTTTTGTTTTATTCTTCTCTAGACCCAAATTGCTTTGAAAAAACTATGGTATATTTTGAGGAGCAATAAAAAACTGTTTCTTATTTCTATATAGAGGAGTCATTATATTGGTTGTGTGTTTATTTTTGTCGGACCTATTGTGTCTCGCCATCGTAGCTACCGAATTCATAAATATAATTTGCCAAATTCACAATCAGCAGAGTAGCGTTGTATCATTATATGTCGTATTTTGTAACATACAACATTACAACGCCGATTATGAATTAGATAAATATTGTTTATTATTAAACAATTGTACAAATAAGTGGAACTTTAACTTGAACGTACAAATTTACATTTGATAAATAAATTTATTTTTTTTTAAATTATCACATCCATTAAATAACAAATGCACGTGGACAATGTCTATTATATATATTTAGATCTGCCCACAAAAATATACATTTTTAATTCTCAATATCAGTAAACTTAAATTTCAATGGTATTTGAGGTACATTTATCATCAAGCTCTTAAAGGCCTTATCGGTGGAATAGTTAAATTCCACCTGAAAATTTCTGATAATACGAGCAATACCCAATTCTAGTTCCATTTCAACAATACGACGTCCTATACAACTTCTAGGACCAAAACCGAATGGTAAATAAACAAATGGATTGCTGGGCCTTAAAGAATGAGGACATTGTGTAGAATTTTGATTTCCACTATCGTTTTCCGAGCGTAACCACCTCTCCGGTATATATTCCTTGGCACGAGGATAATGTAACTCATCATAGTTTAAAGCGGTAGAAACCATAGTCACTGCGGTTCCTTTAGGTATACGATAACCACTTAATACTACATCCTGGGCAGGTATACGTGTATTGCCAATAACAATGGGATACATGCGTAGAGATTCTTTAATGCAGGCCCTTACATAGGGTATATTTTTTAGTGACTCTTCCGTGAATTCAGAATCTTTGTGAGGTAAAATTTTTAAAATCTCTTCTCTTAGTTTAGCCTGTTTAGCGGGATTTTTGGCCAAACACAATAGCAAACCGGTGAATGTAGAAGAAGTCTAGATAAAAGTCAAATATTAAGCAGATTTCTTAAAAGGTATTAATCACTTAAATACTTACGGTATCCACACCTGCCATTAGCAAATCCATGGCCATAACGGTGGCAATTTTCTTATCAATCTTTATCAACTTTTCCAAAACACTTTTTTCATGTTCCGGTTTTTCTGCTGCACCGTTCAGCTTTTCTTGTTCCAAACGTTTTATGGCTTCATTGACATAGGTATTGGTTAGGCTTAACATTGAATCTAAACTTTGCATTAAATTTCGAAAAGATTTAGTTTTATAATATTTCCATGTGGAGGGTTTGTATTCCACTTCCATGCCATATTTAAAGAAACCATTTATAGCTTTAAATAGTTCTTTGACCAGGGGATCTCCACGATTTCTGGTGATCAAACCCAACTGTTTGTCTAGGGCGACAACAGATATAGATTCTAAAGTCCAACGATTTAATTCCTCGATAAAGTTATCGGGTACTTCTAGGGATTTTGGATCACGTATTTGACGGATTCTGTGGGGAAATAGATTCTATTGACAAGACTATGGACTAGTCGATTGACATGTCTATGGAATAGTCTATTGATTAGTGTATTAATTAGTCTTTTGATTAGTCTATTGACTACTTTATGGACTAGTTGACTGTTGACAAGTCTACGGTCTAGTCTATTGTCTAGCATATGGTCTTATCTTTTGACTAGTCTATGGACTAGCCTATAGACAAGTTTATTGACTAGTCTATGGACTAGTCTATTGACTACTCTATGGACTAGTCTATTGACAAGTCAACCGACTGGACTATTGACTAGTCTACCGACTAGACTATAGACTAATCTATGGATTAGTTTATTGAATAGTCTGTGGACTAGACTATTGTCTAGCCTATAGACTAGTCTAGGGGCTAGTCTATGGATTAGTCTACTGACTAGTGTATGGATTAGTCTAATGTCTGGCCTATGTACTAGTCTATGGATTAGACTATTGACTAGTCTGTGGACTAGTCTATCAACTAGTCTATGGATTTGTCTGTTGACTAGTCTGTGGACTAGTCTATTGTCTAACATATAGGCTAGTCTATTGACTAGTCTATGGACTAGACTATTGACTAGTATATAGAATAGTCTATGGATTAATCTATTGGCTAGCCTATGGACTAGTCTATTGTCTAGCCTATGGACTAATCTACTGGCTAGTCTATGGACTAGACTACTGACTAGACTATTGACTATTCTATGGACTAGTCTATTGTCCAGCCTATGAACTATTTTATGGACTAGTCTATTGGCTAGCCTATGGACTAGTCTATTGTCTAGCCTATGGACTAGTCTATTGACTAGTCTATGGACTCGACTATTGACTAGACCATGAACAAGTCTATGGACTAGTCAATGGATTAGTCTATTGTCTAGTCTGTGGACTAGTCTATTGTCTAGCCTATGGACTAGTATACGTACTCAACTATTGACCAGGCTATTGACTAGTCTATGGACTAGTCTTTGGATTAGTCTATTGAATAGTCTATGGACTAATCCATTATCAAGTCTTTTATCAAGTCTATTATCAAGTCTATGGACTAATCTATTGACAAGTCTATCGACTAATCTATTGTCAAGTCTATCGACTAGACTATTGATTAGTCTATGGACTATCCCACTGACTGGTCTATAACTTAGCCTATGGACTAGTATATGGACTAGTCTATTGACCTATCTATGGACTAGTGTATTGGTAAGCCTTTGGACTAGTCTATTGATAGGTTTGTGGACTAGTCTTTTGTCTAGACACATCCATGAATTAGTCTATTGTCTAGACATGTTTATAGACTAGTCTCTTGTCTAGACAAGTCTCTGGACTAGTCTGTGAACTAAACCATTATCTGATCTTTTCCCTTGACTTACCTCTCCACTAATTCCCTATTAACTTGCGACATTTTATGCATATACAAACGAACATTTCTAGGTTGCATTAAGACGGGATTTACAGCCGATCTAAAGGTGGCCCATTTTTCATCACGACTATAACGGAAACATAAATATTAATAAATTAAAATTCTCTTATATAATTTTTTAACATTTAAAGTCTTACGTTGTTATAATTCCTTCTACTCCCTGGAAAAAATCACGTCTATACACATGCCTATAATAGTGTATAGCATCTAGACCCGGTCGGGCAGGCCAAATACCTTCATTACGTAAAACTGTTACAAAATCATCAACATTATGTGTTACCACCATATCCTCTCGACCAAAGTAACCATGTAGTCTGGCTATATTACCCAAATCTCTTTTAAGGGCCATCATAAGATCTGCAGGACCCATTTTATAATATTTTCCACCCGGTAGATAGTTTAGCAAACCAGCGATTTTCGATTGTGATGGTATCTCTTCATAAGGTTTGGCCTTTTGCCATTCGGTTTGAAAGGAATTTGGTTCATTTGTTGTCCCGAGATTTGCTGTCGTTTGAGAGCGTTGTGGAATATTTTGCAAAGTATTCCGTAGATACTTTCTTAAATAATTTGTTTGCCATTTACTATTGTACTTTAACATAATGTTACCCGTCATTTTACCGGTGATGCTTAACATTTGAGTTCTGATTTGATACTAGTTAGATTTATTTAAATTGCAAAATATTTTTTTTTATTGTTAAATTAATATAAATATTTAGATTAATTAAGGTGTTTATTATACTCACATCTATTTATTTATAGAGAATGAGCAGCTTTATTTTATTATTTCGTTTCTATCACATACAAATATCAGTCGCAATTCTCATTTTGTACCATATCGGACTTTTCATATTATTCGAATTAGCGTAAAGCTGGCTTTGAAATTCTCTCAAAATATTTTCTTATCAAAGTTCATGTTCTATCTCGATTACGTTCGACGAAATTGTCTAACATGTCGCTTCACACAATGGAAACTTTTGTTAGTTTTTATGAATAGGTTTCTTAGGGGTCTTTTAATAATCATTAGGTATTTTGAATTTTAGCTAACGATATCTTTGGCATTGAATTTGAATAGTAAGTAGAGGTTGCTCTATTACTCAGCTAGCATATGGAAGATTGTTGGATTATCAGTAATCGGAGTCTTTTTTGACTCGTTTTGATTACCTAAAAGTGATTAATTATTTGAAAATACAATAACAAAATGTATTGCAATCATAAATTGATCATCCTAATGTTCAACATAGAAAAGAGGCTCATAAAAGACTCATAATTTTATATGTTTAACAATCTTTTATGGAAGATAGTTTGATGGCTATTCACTTAACTAAGTCTAGTGATTAGTCACCCAAACTTAAACTTAAAAATGCTTCCAATTAATGATTAAAACATAATTTATTATAATAAAATGTACAGCAATCATAAATAGATCTTCCAACTGTTCGAAATATGATTGTTTATAAATTTATTTTGTTAATATAGAATTTCCAGCAGTCGGAAGATCAAAAAATATTTTCTGTATTATTGTTTTTGTCTGTAACATATATAAGAATGACTCAGAAAAGACTCAAAATATTACTAAAATGTGATTCGAAAAGTACTCTAAAACGATCAGTAATTCGACTTATTAATCAATCAAAAAAGATTAACTAATGAGTCGGAAAGATATGCTCATAAAAGACTCTTTTAGAAGAGTCGCGAATAGATACCATTTTCTCCCGACGAAAGTATCATTTACGATTAGCAAATGAGCTCATCATTTTAATCGTGCGGAAGAGTCATAAATCATTCAAATCTGATCAAAAATGCTAGCAGGGTAGTAAATGTTTTGTCTATGTATTTAAAAGCTTTCTCTCTCGCACAGACTTGTCAGTAGACTAGTCAGAGAACTAGTTAATACTCTGTTCAACAGACTAGGCGATAGTCTATTCTGTAGTAATGGGCTGGTCAAGAGTCTAGTTAACAGACTAATCAAAAGGCTGATCAATGGATAATCAATAAACTATTCAGAAGACTAATCAATAGACTATACAAAATATTAGACTAGTCAATATAATCATCAATAGACTAGTCAACAGTTTAGTCAGTGAACTAATTAGTAGACTAGTCAATATAATCATCAATAGACTAGTCAGTAGACTAGCAAGTACACTAGTCATTACTCTAGTCAATAGACTTTGCAATAGACTAGTCAATAAACTAGTCAATAGATTAGTCAATACACTAATCAATGTACTATTCAATAGAATACTCAATAGACTAGTCACTAGATTAGTCAGTAGACTAATCAGTAGACTAGTCAATGGAATAATCAATAGACTAGTCTATAGACTAGTCAGTACACTAGACTAATCACTAGACCAGTCAATGGACTAGTCATCTGACTAGTCATTACTCTAGTCAATAGCCTTGTCAATGGACTAGTCCTTACTCTAGTCAATAGCCTTGTCAATAGACTTGTCAATAGACTAGTCAATAGACTTGTCAATAGACTAGTCAATAGACTAGTCAATAGACTAGTCAATAGACTTGTCAATAGACTAGTCAATAGACTAGTCAATAGACTTGTCAATAGACTAGTCAATAGACTAGTCAATAGACTAGTCAATAGACTAGTCAATAGACTTGTCAATAGACTTGTCAATAGACTAGTTAATAGACTAGTCAGTGCACTAGTCAGTACACTAGTCAATTGTCTAGTGAATGGACTAGTCAACAGGCTAGTCAATGGACTAGTCATCTGACTAGTCATTACTCTAGTCAATAGTCGTGTCAATAGACTAGTCAATAGACTTGTCAATAGACTAGTCAATAGACTAGTCAATAGACTTGTCAATAGACTAGTCAATAGACTAGTCAATAGACTAGTCAATAGACTAGTCAATAGACTTCTCAATAGACTAGTTCAGCAGTCAGTACACTAGTCAATAGACTAGTGAATGGACTAGTCATCTGACTAGTCATTACTCTAGTCAATAGCCTTGTCAATGGACTAGTCATTACTCTAGTCAATAGCCTTGTCAATAGACTTGTCAATAGACTAGTCAATAGACTTGTCAATAGACTAGTCAATAGACTAGTCAATATACTAGTCAATAGACTTGTCAATAGACTAGTCAATAGACTAGTCAATAGACTAGTCAATAGACTAGTCAATAGACTAGTCAATAGACTAGTCAATAGACTAGTCAATAGACTAGTCAATAGACTAGTCAATAGACTTGTCAATAGACTTGTCAATAGACTAGTCAATAGACTAGTTAATAGACTAGTCAGTGCACTAGTCAGTACACTAGTCAATTGTCTAGTGAATGGACTAGTCAACAGGCTAGTCAATGGACTAGTCATCTGACTAGTCATTACTCTAGTCAATAGTCGTGTCAATAGACTAGTCAATAGACTTGTCAATAGACTAGTCAATAGACTAGTCAATAGACTAGTCAATAGACTTCTCAATAGACTAGTTCAGCAGTCAGTACACTAGTCAATAGACTAGTGAATAGACTAGTCAATAGGCTAGTCAATGGACTAGTCAACTAACTAGTCATTACTCTAGACAATAGACTAATTAGTACACTAGTAAGACTAGTAAGAAAACTAGTAAATAGACTCGTCATTACTCTTGTCAATAGACTTTTCAATAGACTAGTCAATAAACTAGTCAAACGACTAGTCAATACACCAGTCTTAAGACTAGTCAGTAGACTATTCAATAGAATAATCAATAGACTTGTCAATAAATTCGTCATTACTCTTGTCAATAGACTAATCAATAGATTAGACTAATCAATAGAGTAGACTAATCAATAGAGTAGTCAATAGACTAATCAGTAGACTAGTTAATAGAATACTCAATACACTAGTCAATAGACTAATCACTAAGCTACTCAATACACTAGTCAATGGACTAGTCAACAAACTAGTCGATAGATTATTTAATACACTAGTCAATAGACTAATCAACAGACTAGTCACTCGATTAGTCAGTAGACTAATCAGTAGAGTAGTCAATAGAATAATCAATAGACTAGTCAATAGAATAATCAATAGACTAGTCAGTAGCTAGTAAATAGATTAGTCAGTACTCTAGCCAATAGACTAGTGAATGGACTAATCAATACACTAGTTAATATATTCTCCTTGGAACTTGTCAATGCACTAGTATACTATAAAATAGACGTCAGTAGACTTTTGAAAATATTAGTAAATAGTCCTTTTATCCTACTCAAAGCAGTAAAAAAGGACTTTAATTTTGTTTCCCCAACAATATCCACTTACATAAATTATATTTTTTTCTCTCAAATATATTTTTTTGTTCGTTAGTTATACTCTTTTGTCTACATTTCATAATTTTGATAAATTTTTTGTTGTGTTTTTGTCAGTTTATAAAAAAAATATATTTTACATATATATCGCTCATTTACCACAAGACTGGTATAATTCAAAAAAAGTGACATTTCGAAATTTATATCAGAGACTTTAGTATGACCCAAAAAACCAAATTTTGATTTATACCAGTCTTGTAGTAAATAAGCGTTGTGTTTAAAAACCAGCAGAACTTAATGTATTGTTTCTGTTGGAATATTTAAAATTTAATATGACTAGTAGTTTTCTATTAAATTATCTTTAATGTTTAAGGATAACTATTTTTCTGTCCTTAATATTTAATGTAAATAAAAACATAGTTTTTAAATATTTTTATTAACAGCTTGTTATTTTTGTCTATTTAAACAGTTGGGTTTCTTTGGCAGTTTTTTTTACAAAAAAAATATAGTGTATTTTCTGTATTGTCACGTAGTTTTCATAAAATTTATTGTCAGGTGTTTTGTATATGACTTAAACATTTTTATACACATTTATTTTGGATTTTTATTAAAAATTTAGCAACCAAATGATGTTTCCAGATGTTGCATATACAAACATATGTTTGTTTTTTTGGTTTGTTCTGCCATAAATTATTACTAAATAAATGAGTTTATTTTTTTATTATGAATAAAATAAAAATCGTTTATTCACAATTTACACAAATTGTATGTGTCAGTGTTGTAAAATTGTGTAATTTTTATGTTGGAAACTCTTTGAAACATCAGTTTATAAGGATGTTTGCCAGGATTACCAGGATAATATTTTGTGCTTGTTTTTTTTCCTTTTTTAAGTTTACTTTATTTTCAACAATTCATATAAGAACTTATATTTAACAATCGCAAAGGAAGCAAGTGAGAACGAAACAACCGTGACGCGCCAGTTACCAGACCAGACTCTCTGATTCAATCAAGGACCAGACCTTAAGTATCTTTAATTTGAGTTAGTGTCTTAGTATCTACAGATAAATTATCTACGTACTACCACAAGTTCATCATTACATTGCCTGGGATCTATGGCTGTCAAGACCAGTAGATTCCCTATGCACTACTACTACATTGCCTGGGATCTATGGCCGTAAATACCATTAGATTCCCTCTGCACTACTACATTGTTTGGGATCTATGGCAGTAAATACCAGTAGATACCCTAACACTACTACCGATTTGGATCTATGGCTGTAAATACCAGTAGATACCCTACCACTACTACTGAGTTGGATATGTTTTGCCTGTGTAAGGCTGCTATCGAAGCTGTTACAAACTTGCGATAGCTGTCCGTCCACTACGGCAGCACATGCCCAACTGAAGAAGCAGTGATATTGACCTGTAGTGATATTGCATTGTAATGACATTGAATGGTAGTAGTAGTAATACAATAACACGCTGTGGTGAGTTTGTGTTGTATAGAAAATAAAGAGAGTGGGTTGTTCAGTTCTCTTATACTAA